CTCGTCGGTCCGTACGTACGTAAGGACGACTACTCTTCCTACCTCTCTCCCTCCCCCTACCCCCACCCCTACCTCTCTCTCTCTCTCCCCCCCCCTACCATCTCTCTTTCTCTTTATTCTCATTCTCAAATATTCGTATATCTTTATACCCAAAGACAGCCTAAAACACCACGAACCTTGACTCAATCCCTCTAAATGCCAAGCAAACAAATGACCTTCAAGAATCCAACCAAGCATAGACCTTAGGTTGACTCTAGACAACCCTAGGTACTCCTAACCCTAAACCCTAAATTCTTCAGTGCTTGTTCCACTCTGTTTCAACTCAAAACAACTCCATTGCGAGCATCTCTGTCTCAAGCAAACTCTCGGACTGAAGGAGAATGGTTGTATTGCACCGCATCAAGTATGGAGCCTCTGGCCCCTGATTGAACAAGCAGGTTGCTTTCTCTTCTTATTTATAAAATTTCCTTCACTTTCTTCAATGCTACATGTTTGGCATAGCTTTATTCGAGTTTTAAAACCTCTAAACTTGGTTTTGGCAAACCTGTAGCTGGCACCGCTGGTGGACTCTAAAGGACATGGTCATGAGGCCTGTCTTCCATGGTCCTTAATTTTGCAGAACCTATTTTCTCTAGGGTACTTTATTGATCTCGTTTAGGTGCAAAATCAGAATGGAGAGGTCTCATACCTTTTACTCCTCGATTTTGGGTTTAAACACACATGCACGCATGCACAAACACACATTCTCATGGGCACGCACACGCGCACACACATACACACGCCATCGTGGCATTGAGATTTCATCATCATTAAAACCTTTTCTCAACTAATTGGGGTCGGATACACAAATCGTGGTTTGTCATTCTGCTCTATTAAGGTCCATACCCTCGTGGCATTGAGATTTGTTGAATAGAAATGCTTTGTGTGTGTGTATCCAATTATATTGTGCTTCTCTCTCCACTCTCTTCATGTGAGTGATCATAACGTTTTGCTCTCTTTTTTAAAAAAAACATATTATCAAAGGCAGGCAATTGATTTTAGCGATTTGTCAATTCATAATGAGTTATTGTGTCCTAGTATGTCAAGTTTTTTATCTCAAATTGTTGATTCTTTGAAATGACATGAAGAAACAAAATTGTGACATCAAGAGACATCTTTCCCAAAGTTATCGCAAAGAACAACTATGGGAACTGGAAGATGTGACCAAAAAGCTACTTATGGGGGCCAGGTCTTGTGTGGCATCATTGATGGAATCAAATATAGACCACTACCATAATGGCCTTGTAACATGGAGTGTGTTGAAAAAAATTGAAGGGCAGCCAATGGACTTATTTAGCAAACACATGTACAAAGAAAATGGAGAGAGGAGCACTATATTATGGGGCACATAAATAATCTCAATGCCGCAATGATCTTTCTTTACAATCTCTCTTTTCTTTAGAATGTCTCTCTACACAATCTCATTAGCCTGATGGCTCTCTCTATACTCGATTGTTTAACTCATACACCAACCCTTTCATTTATAAAAGATCATCCAACTATATGGCACCCATAAGCGATCTCTTTACCACCAAGAACAACATGCCAAACATACATGTAGTAATGAAAGAGACAACGCCACTCTTGAAGTCAAAGGCAAGGGAAACATGACCTTTCAAGTGCCTTTAACATATGTATAAGGCATCTTTAGAATGTTCTGCATGTACCAAAACGTTAGAAAACATCTCATATCTGTGGGCCAATTTGTAGATCAAGGTCACCATGTCGTGTTTAGTGATGGTGAATGTGAGATTCTACCAGAGGACAATGGCAGTAGGATCATTGTACATGGCAAGAAGATTCACAGCCTATATGCCAGACTTTGGTAAAGGAGTTTCCCTCTGATATTGCTGACTTCTTACATCAGAAATTAGGGCATTGCAACCATCTTAGGCTAAAAGATATATTAGGCAAGAAGTTGGTCTCTGAAATGCTTGTGATTCAATATGATGGGAATCATATATGTGAAACATGCGCCTTTGCAAAGGCTACGAATCATCCATTCTCTCAATCCAAGGCCACAACAAAATAACCAATCCCAATGAAAAGGCAAAATAAATAGGATTGGTAAGTAATACTACTCCTAAACTTCCTAATATAATACCTGAGCCCAAAGATTCCCAAAGAATATCATGTATGGGTCCAAGTAAATCCATGATGTGCGAAACAATAAGTCGAAATATTATGGTGGTCCGAGTTTGGTGGAGTCACATTGGCACATGTGGTATTAATGTTTCTTTCATTAGTGATTAGGCCCGATATACTTGGTTTTATTTCCCCCAAAATGAATTTGAGGTATTTGGAAATTTTAAAGAAATTAAAGTGCTGTTGAGAATGAATTCATAGAAAAATCAAGAAATTACAAAATGATGGCGATAAAGAGTTCGATGTATTTGGGGAAGTATGGAATCAAGAGGTAGCTAACATGTGTTGGGACTCCCTAGCAAATTGGATTGTTAAAGGAAGCATCAACACATAGTGGAAGCCACTCATGCTAATGCGAATGGAAGAATCCGTCTAAAATACATAAGGTGAGGAAATACGTTCTGCGTCATGCTGTTGAGACAAGGGATAAAGGTACCATATTAACATCTTCATAAGAAGAAATCCAAATTTGACTTATATTCTTGGGCTTAGGTGCATAACTCCACATCTGAAATCTAGTATTTGTTGAGTCAGTGGCTCAGCCTTGAAAATGCATTGTAATGGTTGAAATGCTTATTTTGATGGAATATAGGAATTGTATAAGATGCAAGGTTCAAAAGTTATCTTTTCTTAGTAGAAGTTCCATATGTGTATTTTTTCTCTCAAAAAAAAGTTCCATATGTGTATTTTATACTTGTATAAGAATGTTTTGTATTATTCACCTGAGATACAGTCATACACATGTATATTTGCCAATGTACTGGCCATCATACATCAAACTTAGTACGCTTTATGCCCATCTTGTTCATAATTTTTTACAGCACTAACTTGTTTGATGCAGGACGAATGGAATTGACTTTGAGGAGGTCAGGATCGATATTTCAAAGCGACAACATCTTCAACCTGAATTTAAAGGTGTTGTATGTGGAGCATCAGTGTTTTTATTCTTATAGCGTGTTTACAATTATAATGTTGATGTCTGAAATATAATATGCTTATCATACAATGTCAAAGTAATTTATCTAATATAGTGTCCTTTTCATTTTCTTCAGTTAAAACCATGCACATATATAGTCATTTGGCATGATAAATTGTCCAATTTTAGTTAACAGTGTTCAGAATTTATTTAACAGTGTTCTATCATAAATAATTAGAATACTGTTAGAAGCTTGATTGGTAATACCAGAGAATAAAATTGTACAGGAAGCATGTTTTTAACTTTCTATGTTGCCTCATGCACCAATGGAATTTTACAGAGTATCTGAAATACTTTGGAGTTCTCCTATGTGAATTAGATCCTAGTTTATTTGTTATATGCTTTGTCTAGTTTTTATGTGGAATCTTATATTTTCACACAATGCTCTTTCAGTATTTGTTATTGTAATTATTTTCATGGCAATGGAAATTCCTTTTCTTTGTCTGCAGTGAAAAATTATGCATCTCATACTGAAAAAATGAGACATTGCATCTTAATTTTGATGTTCCTCATCTTAATGAGTTCGGAATTGTGCACTCGGAGCCAGTGTTCTATGGAATTTCAATGATAATCACTTTAATTAATAATGCCAGAAGCTGTGGCATCCATAAGCTATTATATGCTTAGTGAATAATTGCAACCTAGCAGAACTGAACTACTCTTAGAAGAATAGGTAAGCTGCATATGCAGTAGAACATAAATTGATAATGAGTTAAGTGCCCTCATAATGCAGTAAGCATGTAATAAGCAATCTGAAGTTTGATTTCATGTAGAACTTTATTGGTTTCTGTTCAAGAGATGAATATTTGACCTTTGGTTTAAATTCTTACGTGAGTTATATACTCTACTTACACCCATATTCTGCACAATTAGAGACGTGACGAATATGTGCAAGTTATTACCTACATGTATGGTGTTCTGACAATTACTTCAGATAATTCTTTGCAGCCATCAATCCTATGGGGCAAGTCCCAGCATTAGTGGATGGAAAACTTAAGCTGTTTGAGAGGTAATTATTCCTTTTACTTTCTGGATCCTTTTTCGTTTTCTGTATTTTTTTGTTCTTTCTTTATGCATGAAGTTTAGTGGGTGTGTCTGCAGATATGGATAAGATGCATACATAATGTTGGTCGCGTATGCATACTGTGTTGTTGATGAAGTCAAACTTTGCTGTTGAATGGATTGAATAAATTATCAATATTCAATGGATTTTTCTGCATATCTGTGAAGTTGGCAAACTGTATTTTTAATAGTGGATTCAATGTGCGTATGAAGTTATTGACTTGGCAGCAATTAATTTTTCAGATTGTGACTTGATTGTTGATTTCAGTTGTGTTCAGATATTGCTGAAAACATCTCTTGTAATTTATGTAAATTTAGTGGGCAAAATGCTTGTTTTGGTTTCCTTCCTATGAAGTCTGTAGAGTTGAAATAGTCTGGTTGGTTAAATAGAGACTACGCCTTAAGCCCTTTAACCAAAATATCAAAATCTAACTAAAGTGTGACGATTAAATTTTAGTAATGAACATAACTGAAATATTCACAACTTTGAAATTTATGTAGGACGTTTGACCATGTGCTCCTAATATAGGTCGTATTTATTGGTATGATATGTACTATAACTCTTAGAACTAGTGCTTTATTAATATTTTTAGTTATCAGCTTTACCTATTTTACTTTCTCTGTTTATCATGATTTTGAGAAGACGTTGTGCAGAGAGTTAGTTAATGAATTGTCGGGAGAGCAGACTGTGTTCCTATCCCTGCATGCTAGTGAACATGTTAGATATCAAGGTTTTATTGGCCCACTAAAAGTCTCCATCCAGCTCAGAGATGAGGCCAATGATATGTGTATCTCAGTTACTCGAACTTTTGGGAGGCTGATGATGTTACTACTCATTGGCCCGCTGCAAGAAAAGTTTTAATTACGGAAAGGAAGTGTGATTTAATGTTTAAACCTGATCCTTATGAGCTCCATGTTGAACCAATGTCCTTATAAGCACTTGAGGTAGGTTCACTAGGTATCCGATTCATTCCTGGTGCCTACGATAATTTATGCTTTACATCTCTTTTTATTTCCTTTGTCATCCGACGTTGGCAACCGACTAAATTTCAGCGTATTCTTTCTGCTGAAGGTGAATATGCTGTTATCTGTTCTTTATTTTCTGATTACCCACTATCCACTTGGATGTAGAACTGTGGAATGCGCTACAATTGTTATATAAAATCCAATCTCTTGGAGTACAATGCTATAATTAAAATGTCACACATATGCTTGATTAGTGCATCTTTGATTAAGCAGGTGTCTCTTCTGTTACTCTTCAGACTATGACCTTTTTTTGACATTTTCCCTTATTTACTTCTTTTCACAGTCATGCAATATTGCGCTACCTTTCTTATGCATTTCCTGGAATTCCAGATCATTGGTAAGTTGCAAAGGTGCATATTTTGTGTAGAACATATCTTGACCACAATGTGCAGGAGTGTGAGTCCTTCAAGCTTTTAATTTCCTGTTGTTAAATCATATCGTAAGGTATCCTGGTGATCTTTCCAGAAGGGCTAAGATTGAATCAGTCTTGGATTGGCATCACTCAAATTTACGTCGTGGTGCAGGTGCTTTTGAATCTCAAAATTACACAGAAACAGCCATAATTTGTAGAAACAACTGCAAATATTTTTCTGGTTATTCTTGTGGGTTGTCTTTCACTTCACAAGCAACATTCTGACTGCTTATATTGACTTCGAAAATTAGTGCAAATTATTGAAGTGTCTGTCTATATGCTCATGTTAAAGGTATATTGAATGTGCTCATTATGAATAGCAGCTTCCAGGTGAAGTTGCTTATTCCTGTGATTTAATTAAAGAACATAATTAAAATAGTGGTCTATGAGACAGTTAACACTTTCAAAAAAACAATAGACGTCTATGAGCCCTGGATCTCCTTTATTTGAGAAGGTAGATGGCACTTGTGCATGTCTTATTTTGTTGGTTTATGTGTGTGCTTGTTGGCATAATGTCATTCACTCAGATTGACTTACGCCACCAGTTTTGTTACTTCTATGGATAGGATTGTCATGTTTTGATTTTTTTTCTTCGGTATATGCATGATGTGAAGCCTTTGTTTGTTTGTTTTGATGGCATTTCATGGGTTTTCTTCTCTTTATTACAAATCTTATCCTTGCCCGCTTTTAAAAGTCCTTTGCTCGACTCCATTAACCATACATATCACTATATGGTTGGTCGCCCTATCCTTTTACAGGAATTATTCTCAAAAAGAGCTATCTTTTATGCATCTATATACCTTTCTTTAAAACAGGGTGGATGTGCAAATGTCTGTAGCAAGCATGAATAAGAGGCTGAGTTTGGTACCTATTTTTCTCACCACAATTTACCCCAACTTCTGCATTTTAAGATATAATGTGCATATCCTGTTAACTATGTTACATAACAAATTTTGTTACTGGAAAGCAGGGAATGTTTCACGAACAACTAGCGTCTCTTAAACATTACCATTCTCTTTCTAAAAGCCTTGTTTCCTCACTCTGGATTAAACACGCACAGCCATTCTCTTTGCATTTAGTGTGCATAGTACTGTCCAATCAGTCAGGCCAATTCCTCTTGTACTCAGTTTTCAGTGGATCTGGTGTGACAAAAGAGCATTACTTGCCGATCAAAAATTAAACTGAAAAAAAGAAAGAAAGGATAGCGCAAATACTTCCCTACAATGTTTTGTATATGTCAATGTTCAGATTCTGATTGTCAATTGGTAATCCTAGACGTTTATGTTTCACAGTTTTTTTTAACTGTTACATGCAGCTGGTTATGTATTAAATAAGGCCTTAGCTCCTGCACTTGGTCTGCAATTAAATCCACAGGCAGCGGCAGAAGCTGAACAAATATTGTGTTCATCCCTATCAAAAATCGAATCCATTTGGCTGAATGGGAATGGGAAGTTTTTGTTGAACAGTAATCAACCATCCATCGCAGATCTAAGTCTTGTTTGTGAAATTATGCAGTTGGAGGTAATTTGATCTATATCATGTCTGATTGTTAGTTGAGATAGGTGCAGTAAATGAAATACAATTTGTGTGGTAACTAGGTGCTGCAATTGGTATCAATTGAATGTTCTTTTGATGTCCATTGGAAAGTTCTATCAACCGGCAATTGATCCCGAATCTTGATTTGCTTATGAGTCTCTGGAAAGTTCTATCAACCGGCAATTGATCTTGAGTCTTGATTTGCTTTTGAGCCTCTGGAAAGTTCTATCAACTGGCAGTTGATCTTGAATCTTGATTTGCTTTTGAATCGCTTGAAAGTTGGACTGACATATACTGCTTGTACCACTGTTTTACTCCTATGGAAATTTCCCATGGCTGAGAGAGAGAGAGAGAGAGACAGAGAGACGGGAGGGAGGATGGGTGGCGCAGTGGAGGAGGGGGCATGGTGTGGGGAATTTATGATAAATGAATGTCACATTGAAGTGTGAGACATATTTTTATTGAAAAGTTAATGTTGAGACATATGTTACATCTGAAACTTCCTGCAATAGTGGGTGAGAAGCACTGATTCCTAAAATTTAAGATGTTGCCGCCATTGCACACATTTGTGTGTGTGTGTGTGTGTATGTGAGAGAGAGAGAGAGAGATTGAGAGAGAGAGATTTTGCTTTTCTTTTACATCCTAATATTGCTTCACTTGTGACAGGTTTTGGATGTGAATGATCGTGATCGACTGTTGGGACCCCATAAGAAAATCAATGAGTGGATTGATAATGTGAAAATGGCAACAAGACCTCATTTTGAGGAAGTCCATGCTATCATTTTCAAGGCTGCCCAGAAGCTTCACACCAGGCAAGCAAAGCTGTAAAAGCCTTGGGAAACATACCGCACACAGTTCCCTGGTATTTCAAAACTCCACACTTATCAGAATAAGCTTGTTGTGTGCTTTTTCTTTTAATATATGTAATTTTTTAGCTTATCTCCAATTATTATGTTATTAACTTTATATGTATGTGTGACTACTTTAGCCCTTCAACTTCTGAAATTCCTGCTGGAGAAACTGATTAAGAAAATGGCAAATACCGCGCCATTAAAAGTGCTGGATGCACATCCTAATATGATAGAGTTGGCTCAAGTCCTTGAGCTGATTAAACTGCTTAAAATTATAAATGCTAGGACTACTTTTTTCCTTTTTATTATTACAGGACATTGTAAGATAGATGAGTAAAATTGTGACATCATGTTCTTGTAATAATCAGAACTTCACAATTTAGCTTGGATTCTGATAAAGGAAAGTTAAGTAGAATGGCGAAATCATTATCCTCTGATCCTTGCTATTCAAGGGTTAATGTTGACTTAAAATATACCCTTGATTCCCTGTTCAAATCACATCGTTTGGGATTGTTTTTGACATTTGCTATCGGCAAATACACTAATTGAAGGCCGGTTTGTTCTGTTTGAGTTTTATTCTTTCTTGAAAAAAAAACTCAGAGAAAAACTCAGACAGCAAAATACATTTCTTTTTATCAAAACGATAGAGTTCTGGCATAAACATGCTTAAATCTCTTCTAGATAAGAGTTGTGGTATACACATGACAAATACTAAATGCTGGCCCTGCCGAAATTTTCATCATATCAACTTTTTAACATTTTTTTTTTAATTTTTTAAATTTTAAAGTGACTTTTGTAAGAATGGAACTCTAGACATCACATTGCATTACCTCCCCCTCTTCTACTTGGAGCCTATTCTCCATATGGTATTTAAAATATTCCTTTATCTTTAGTAAGAGTGATAGAACCTTTGTCAACAATTTCTAAGTAATGGAATATAAGGCGGTAGAAGATATTAGTGATAGGACCTCTTATCATTTTGTATTATTTTTGACATTCAATAAAGAAATATTATGCCCTTCAATGAAAAAGAAAGATGATTTTATTTTCACGTCTAATTATAAAATTTAAAGCTTTCAAAATATGGTAGATCAAGAGGATCTATAAACACTTGAGAATCTTAAAAATTGATGGTCTAGATAATGCATTAGACGATGCAATATTTTCAAGACTTTTGTCTCTTTTTTTTTTGGTCCTTGTATCTTAAGGTCAAGATGCTCGGATTTGAGGGTTTTTCGGCATCGAAACAACTTCAGGTGAAGTTTTTAGGTGCACTCTAGTTTGATTGTTTAGGGCCTCAACCTTTAACCTTTTTATTTATTTATCAGGCCATTAATGTCTCTTGGGCCAACTTGTAAACTGGTCGGTTTCACCCTAGCCCACACCCAAGGTCTAAGGTGGACCTAAACCTCGCCTAAGTATTGGAAACGAGACCTAAATCGAGTCGGGTCCAGTTTAGGTGGACGCAAACTTGACTCATTAGGTTCATCTAGTAGGTCCTACTATGCCGCCCTTACTGTCTTGAGGTTATTTATCTTTTGTACATAGAGGTCACAATCTTTCTCATTCATTAGATGTTAAATTAGATGGCTTGAGTTGAGTCACGAAGTTTGAGAATTTATTTTTTTTGAACTTTGTGTCTATTCAATGACATTCTTGTAACCACCTATTTTGAAATTTAAAAGGCACAAGCGATTGCGATCTCCATGTAGAAAAGATAAATGGTCTATTGTAGACAATTATGTAGAAAAATTGGAACTTCAATATTTTTTCCATTTGCAACTAATGCAACTCAAGATCTGGGTATTTTGAAATTAAATCAAAACGTGTGGGTAATGTTTCAAATTGTTCATACCTCATGGGTAATTTGACATATTTTCCAAGAACTTACCATTATGAGGCATGTGAATATTATATTTGGTTTTGCTTCGGTAATAATACTTTTTTATATAGATCACTTCAACTGAAAGGGGTGTTTGTAGTTCTCAAAGGGGCCCAACTACTGATATGAAAATGCAAAAAAAAATAACCAGAATACCCTATAACTTGTTCGGATATTTCGATCATTTTATTTTATTGGAATTATTTTCCTTTTATTTCTAATGGGTTGCCCCATTGAGCTATAAACCCCCACAGTTTCAGCTAAAAACGATCTATAAAAGAAATAAAGTTTAAATATAAAATCAACTCTCAAGGTTGAATTATTGAGAACCTAACCGAAGCTGATGTCATGTTGTGCAACCTAATGTTATTATTTGTGTGTAACTGGGTTGGATCAAGCCACATCCAAACCTAGACCCAAAACATCATGTTCAGATCCGGACTTGAGCGAGATTGATTCGACATTGGATCAAATCAACCCAACCCAATTAGCACAACTAACTGAGTCTAGTGAGAGATGGACCAGCCTCGTTTGATGAGTAAATCAGACACCTAAACGGTCACCTCTGATGTCACAGGCACTATATGCAACTTGCTGGTGTTGTCTAATGAGTTAAAATGACCGTCTCTCTCTCTCTCTCTCTCTGGAACTAAACGGTCACCTCTGATGTCACAGGCACTATATGCAACTTGCTGGTGTTGTCTAATGAGTTAAATGACCATCTCTCTCTCTCTCTAGAACTGAAGAGTATGGCTCTATATGCGTGTTGCAAGTGTTGTTTAAAGAGGTAAAAGGGTCCCCTCTCTCTCTCCCTGAAACGAATCGGATAAGACAAATGAGGAGATAAGCATGCCTACCAACTCTAAGACATGTAGTTTTATTAAACCTTTAAGTCACTTCAACCTCACATAAACTCTTTATATATAATTTTTGAAAAATATCTCATTATTTTTTAAAGACCCAAAGAATGAAAATATTACTCGGAAATAAAAAATCTCTGTCTTTTTTATCTTACAACCCTTTGGATCCTTTTGACTATAAAGTTTTAACCCAACTAAAATCTAAAATGACACCCTCAACGCTTATATGTATTGATTAATACTAATTTTTTATTTCTTCTTTTTAACAGTAATTTTTGTTTCTCTCTACCCACACTTTCTCTCTATTCAAACTCCCTCTCTCTCCTGTCTCTCTGTCCAAACTCCTCTCTATCTCTCTCTATCGTCTCTCTATCCATACTCCTCTTTTTTTCTCTCTACACTTTCTCTATACTATCACATTCTTAACCAAACACAATAATCAGTCAACTTTCTCTCTCTATATTATTACATTCTCAACCTCTCTCTACACTTTCTCTCTCTACTCTTTCACATTATTACTGCATAGTAAATCTCTCAGCACTTTCTCTCTCTATATGGTCGCATTCTTAACCTCTCTCTACATTTGCTCTCTCTACACTTCCTCATTGTTCGGTTGGAGTGCTATCTCTCTCTATACTTGACTGGCTTTTAAAATTGTAAATATCTTCCTACAATTGACTCAACTGCAAATCACACATGCCTCGTCCCTATTTGATTTTTTATTCACACTCATAATAAGCCGTTTTCTCTCTCCGTGTTTCGTGTTAACGACTCTGCTCTCCCCTTTAGAACAGCTTGTTGTTCGTCTGTAAAAATTCTCGAAACCCACAATTAGTTAAAAATTACGAGATTCTGCGTTCTTCTTTTGCTGCTCCATGAAAGGGATCTAGCCTTTCTCGTTTTTAATGGAAATGGAAGTCGAATTAGGGTTGAGGTAAAAAGGGAGACGAATTCAATTGATGATAGGAGAACGAAGATTTAGTGAAATAGAATGAAAATTTAGTGAGAGAAAGGAAGTTTGGGCGAGATAAAAGCTTGTAAGAGAGGGAGAGATGGAGTCCAAGCAGATAAAGAAAGAGAGAGAGATGGAGTTGGGCAGAGAGAGATAGAGGAGTTTGGACAGAGAGACAGTAGAGAGAGAAAGTTCGGATAGAGAGAAAAACAAAAATTACTGTTAAATATAACAAAATAAAAATTCTCGTCAATCAATACATACAAAAGGTGTCATTTTAGATTTTGTTTGAATAAAAAATATATGATCAAAAAGGTCCAGGAGGTTATAAGATAGAAAAGATAAATACCTTTTGCTTTCAAATAATAATTTTAATCCTTGACCTAAAGAGATACATAAGTAAAAAATAAAGGATAAAGAGATATTTTTCCTATAATTTTTAGTCACTTTCTCAAAAGTGAAGAAAACAAATTAAGAGATAAACATGCCTACCAACTTTAAGATATGTATCTTTATCAACCCTTTAAGTTACTTAAATCTGACACAAACTCTTTTTCTATACCTATAATTTTTTATTGACTTGGACTTGTGGGATTAAAACCTTTCTTTGTATCTATAATTTCTTATTGAATTGAGACTTGTGGGTCAATAACCTTTTCTCTTTACGGGAGACTTGTGAACCGTTCAATTAAACATTTCATTTACTTCAAATAATTTATTTACTTGGAGTCTCTTTGCACTAGACTTGAGAGTCTCTATCATCATAAACTTGGGTGTCTTTTTTATTAAAAAACATAAAGCAGTTCTTTAGTGAGAATGAAGTATGAGATCTCACTATGGAGCTCGACAGTACTACGGCCAGGCCCAGGCCATTCTCCTTAAACTTGGGTATCTTGCAATTTATTTCCTGCACAACCAGAAGGGGACAAAGGACAATATGGCTATTCTTATCATAGCAACACTTACACGTTTAGATTTATAGAAAAACCCCCAACACTACACATATTCAACTTATTCATTCAGGGCAATAATTTCATGCAACCGTTGTATAGTAATACGATACAACAACTTTTAAAAAACCATCTTATGGCCATTTGTTTGATCCAAATTTTGAAATATACACTCTTTTCATTCTAATGAACAATCACAAAAAATAAAAAGTTGAAAACACAACTTAAAAAGTATTTTTTTAGCCCAATTAACATAGGCCGTTCATTTTGGTGAGATACATAGATCTAGGCTTTGGAAGGATTTTTTCATTTCCAATTTTTTTGGATGGATTTATTATCATTAGATGAACAATTTAAAAAAAAAAAATTGATTTTGAGTTTATAAATGCTAAGATCTTGAATTTCACAAAATGAATGGTCTAGATTTGTTTTTGGAGGTGACTCATTTTGACCATATCTAGGGTTCATATTGAACTTTTGTTTGGGGGGGGATTGATTATTGAGATGAAGAGAGTATGTGTACAAAATTTGGGGTTATACAAATACCACAAACATGGTTTTCTAGAAGTGTTGTTGCATTATACTATAATACAACCATTACATTGGATCATTGCTCATTCATATAAGGGTTTGGTTTTACAAGTTTAAACAATCTAATTAAGGCGTACCTCCAAATTTTATCATAACATGTAATTTTAGTGTAAATTTTTTTTAAGATTATCTGAAAATCTATTTTCATATTTAATTATGAAATT